GGCATGGGTCGACATGGCATGAACCGCGGTGGTCCAAACAGGTGGTCCAAACAGGTGGTCCAAACACTGGCGCGTTGGACGCAAATCTTGCACCACAAGACACGCGAGTGACACGCTGTTTCAACAGCTGTTGTTCGCTCCGATTCAAACCGAGATGGGGCAAATTGCTATCCGTCGTTGTTCCACTCTCCACTCTCCACTCACCATGCCTTTTCTTTAAGATCTTTAAGATATGAAGCTCGCCCTTGAACCCATCACACATGAGATAGCTACTTTGTTTAAGAATGTTTAAACTAACATCTGGTGGCACCATTGACTGACCCGTCGCGGTGCACTGCTTCATTCAGCAACTGCAGGGTGGTCTCTCAACACCCACCGAGGCCACAGAGGTACTAAGCTGCGTGCAACAACGCTGAGAATGAGTAGCTCGAGGGTAAAAAGTGCCATCACGAGGGTGAGAACCTTGCGACAGGTGGCGCGAGGTAGCGGGGGCCGCAGTGGTGTCGGATGTTGCAGGCCCTGCTCCGTGCTTTTGCAAATGAAACCCTCTCAACCAGCTTGAGAAAGGGCCAACTTTCAATGGTTCACCGTGATGCACACTTGGGCTCCAGCTACGTCGATAAAGATAGTGTCATTGACACCAGCTAGGACCCAAATGTCCGGCATAAACAATGCCAGCAGCAAGGCTATGACCTGCACGTGATCAGAGACACTTTGACACAAGCGAACGAAAAGGAATGACGACTGTGCATTTGTGTTCGCCACCCAAAGTGAATCAAAGTGCTGCATCTGGAGGTCCAGTCTGCTTCAATCGTGTTCTTTGTCTAGATTGAGGGAGCAGAATAAACTCAATCATCAAAAGAGGGTGTTTCCAATCAGGAGTAGGAGTCTTGCTGCAGCTTTGGCCGGGTGTTTTCGTGCCCACTTCGGTTTGTCATCAAGCCGCTCGAAAAGAGAACCTTCTTGTTGTCAGTTCCCGTGTCAACTACAAAAGCAAACTGTAAGCATAAAATCCATGTTGAAAAGGGAAAAACATTGTTCAGCAGGAAAGGAAAGCAGTTTCGACGTTCTTCTCCAGGGAGTCAGGAACATCAAGGCAATATAAACTGGACAAAGATTCTGTCGGCCTTCTAGAGGCCTTGAAGAGACATGTAAAACACTATAGGATGGTAGCTACTTAATTAGTACAGCTACTTGTGACGAAAGGCTCCGAAACGCCGAGAGATTCACGTCGGTCCAGGGAACTCGGTCGAGTTTGGGCTCCCCACCATGAGGATGGCCCAATTCCTGCCCTGCATCATGCCGCCTTGGAGTCCAGACTAGGTGCGGCGGGACCGTGCGTCTCGCAGCTTGATGGCTTGGCTTGCGAGATTGCGCCGTTCTAAGGCCGAAAGGTGAGTGGCCCAACACATGCCCCAACACATCGGTTTCGGGCTTGGGGAAGCGCCAAATCTCCACTACTGGACCGATCGATGGTAGAGGCCACTCGCCACACGAACCGAGGCCACCACGCAAGGCCACAGCTAAAGGGCTGCTGTACCATCCTCAGGTGAGACCCGTGCCAAGGAGTAGATAGAGTTTAGGAAAGCAAGATACATCAAGAAACTACAGGGGAATCACTCCAACTGAAATAAACCAACCCGTATGTGATCGACTCCAGAACGCTAAAAGAAAGGGACCAAAGGACAGTGCCCCCTTTGCAAAAGGGAACATCTCCTCACAATCTCTTCAACCGAGGCAACTAGTAACACCATACTAAGCAGCAGCAAGAAGCTAGTAGGTTGGAGGCCATCGCTGGTAGGTTGGAGGCCATTACTAGTAGTAGCAAGAAGCTAGTGGGTACACGGTGTGTGGAAAAGCCTCGGCTTCAGCTTCTCACCTTCGACGTCCGGCTCGGCTTCAGCCCCGGACGACTCGAGGCCAACTTCATTCGGATGCTGCTCACAGCACCTCCAGCGTCCGAGAGGCCGAAGAAGAAAAAGGACCCGGCAGTAAAGGACCATGTGCTGGGGTGGTCTGGGTGAATCACTGGCAGAATGTCAGTGGGAGAGAAAGGTGAGCAACTGATATGGGCTGGAAGCAAACAAATCACTGATTCTGCCATTTCACAATTCGGGTCTGGAAGAATTTCTTGCCAGGAACGCCTTCCACGCACTCCAGATGACAAGGTCCTCTTCCGCCCAAGTTCTTCCTCCCACCGTTTCGATCGAGTCCCTTCGTCCCGTTCGAAATCTTCCAACCCCAGCGGACGACGGGCGACCTGAGGTCGGTCGGACAGCGCAACGGGGTGCGAACGGCGCGAACGAACCCAGCACCTCCAAGACTTGCACAGAGCCCAAAGGATCGTTTCCTCGGAGCATGGGCTGCTTCCGGAAGCGACATCCGGAATAAGCGACGCGGAAGAAGCGCAAACGGCAGAAGCGTAAAGGTGGCATAGAAAGATTCACCAGGGAGACATAGAATCTTGTGAATCAGAAAGTGTTTGGAGCTTGGAGTGACAGCAGCTAGTGGCTAGCGGCTAGTGGCTGTCACTTCGTCGTTGAGTCTTCGAGATGGAACAGCAGTAAGGGTCTCATGTCATTCCTGTTTCAGTCGCAAGGTGATCAACTAGCTTCTCAAAAATCTCTGTTCCAATCCCTATGGCCACTTATTTGAGCAGGTTCAACTCCAAGCCCCCAACAAGAAACAGGGGACGACTCCCTGAGATACATGCCTACTGCCTACTAGCTCCTACTGCCTACTGCCTACCGCCTACCGCTCGACCCGCTCGATCCGGGCGCCCCGGACCGTTTGGCCTCTTGGGCTCGGGTGTCCGAGTTCAGCGAGGCTGAGACGGATGCCCGGCCCTTCACGTGTTCCTTCTCTCTCGATTCTCTCCTGCCGCGGGACGGACCGGTCGCTTCGACGGACAGCCGGGGACGAGACACCGAAACACGGGGCGTCGACACTGGCCACGGATCGTGCCAGTCCGGCCGAAACACGAGGAGGCACCTCCCAATGGAGGTGAGAACGGAAAAACCAGGTGAAAGAATAAGGTGTTTGATGTGCCAAGAGTTTCTGAGGCCTTCCCGTTGTTTGACCCATGTCGAAGCAGGGGATGTCGCCACGGGAACCGTGTCGACCCGAGGCCCAAAGTTGGACTCAGAGCGGAAGCGGATCGCCGATCACTCGACCCTTCACACGGTCGATGGTCGATGCCATGAAACGCCTAAACAGAACGTGACAGAAGGGTGGCGGGAAAATCCATCCGGGAACACCCCACCCACCCTCCAAGCAGGCCATGCTGCTCAGGGTGTAGGGGCCCAACCCATCTTGGGAAACAGATGTGCAACAGGGAGAAACTAGGAACAAGTGCATCGCTTCTAGTAACAAGTGCCTTACTACTAGTAACAAGAAGCAACAAGGAACAAGTGCATCGCTTCTAAGGCACTTGTGACTAGAAGCGATGCACTTGTTCCTAGTAGCTTCTTGTTACTAGTTGCAAAGGGCGGGCGATGGCCGACCGAGGCGGGGAGAAACTCCGTTTCGCTGTGCTCCTGGGAGAAACTCCGGGGACGGTAGCAGACTGGTCACTATCACCTGGCCGAGGGGATCGGCTTCAGAGGGAAATCGAGTCAAAGCTGTTTTTTCGTTTTTGGTATGAAAGAATCAGCTTTGTGTCCAGGCAGCATGTGTCCATGTGTCCTGAGGTTCTCTAGATGCCAAAAACAGTGTGAAACAAATGTCTGGCTGAGTGCTGAATGCAGATTTGCCGATACGCTGACTGCACAGGTGAGGCGAGTCGCCACTTTCCACCAAGCTGACAGGTACAGGGAAGGGCATACACCAATTCGCCTTCGGTTTCATCTTCCAACCTTCCAACCGTCCTTCTATTTAAAAAAAATGATGAGAAACAAATACCAGGGCCCCCCAAAGGGGTGTCTATTAATGCCCCTAAGAGGTCAAGGGGTGTCCATTAACCACCCCGACTGTGGGTCCTGGTACACAAGAACGGTCCACTCGTCCTGTTGGTTCGCTGCTTCACCCTGCCTGGCAATACCATAGTTGGTTCAAAGTCTGCCTGGGTCACATAGTTGGTGACGAGAGACCGTCCGGCGCGTCGGGTACGCGGAGCCAGACCGCCAGACGGATCGGAGCTTGACTCGTCTGCGGAACGTGTGAAAAAGAGCAAGGAGGGCCAAGGAGGGTACAGGAGAAGAGGTTGAACAATATGGGAAAAAAAATCTTGCCCCGGTTGGACATGTGTCCCAAAGCCAGTTGCTGGATGTTGCTGGGCACTCCGACTGGCATCCTCAGAGACGTCGCGTCAGCCCATGGTGAGAATTCACCATCTTGAGCCAAACACGACGGAAGAAAAGACGGCCAAAACAACGGGGTAACATGCCTAGAGGACATTGTCTCGGACAACTAAGCTTCTGAAATGCTGCCCACTTTCAGCAGTATTGCGCATGAGGAGGAGCACACTTAAGTGGCACTGAAAGAGAGAGAGAGAGAGAGAGAGAGCTCCTCTTGAAGGCTTGTTGTGATATCCGTTTGTATAACATGTTAACCAACAAAAAGGCTCTTCCTGGAGAGAAGCCGGGCGAAGACACATCCTCTTGGAGCTTAGGGGCACGCCGTTTTCCACCAATCTGATGACAAACGTGTGTCCAGTCCAGTCATCGAACCAACCACCACTCCACTCCAACGTTGATAGAAAAAATGACCCGTGCGGGCGACTCCGAAAACATAGAAGTAAGAAGGCTCCACGACTCCGGGTGAGTGAGTCCGTGAGTGAGTCCGTTCGTGTGTTTTTCATGTGAGTCCATTCGTGTCCCCGTGTTCCAATTGCAATCTGTTTACTCTGACTAAGCCAAGATAGGGCCAGTCAACCTTGAGCATCTGCCTACATGGCATGTCATCACCCCCATCCACCATTTTTAGACGGTGGACCGGTACCGACTGGACCACCTCTCCTCCGGTCCCCGCCACCCGAGTCTCCGATGTCCCGGGTCCCCGGCCACACCGTCCAGGTCAATCTCTGCTAAGAGCCGCTGGGCTGCATGGGTGCCCACCGACTCTGGGCTCATCTCCTGAACTCGCCCCGAACTGAAAACCGAGTGACCCCAGACGAGTCCTGACACCCAAAGTCACTGAATCGAAACCGAACCGCAGAAGCACTTGGAAGCTGGGAAGCTCTAGGCTCTACGAGAGAAGCGAATGAGCGAATAGGCCCTTTTTGACTCTAGAAGATGTGTCCTCAAAAGCTTCATGGGGCGAGTGCACCTTCAGATTTCTTGCAAAAATACACTGCAGGTGATCGCCCCAAGACCCAACCACTGCAGGGCTCCTCTTCTTCACTGATGCTGGCACACGCATCCGCGGACCTCGTGCGCAAGCCCACGAATAAACCGGCAGCGGACACCGTGCCGCCGTGCGGGACAGCAAGGCGGTGCACCGGAGGGCCGAGCCGCGGACTTGAGACTTCGGGCAATGGTCTCAGCGACCAAGGAGATACCTTGGTGAATAACACCAAGGCTGAAGAACACCACTTGGGCCCAAGCCGCGATGGCTGGAAGACGGTGGAACTCATTTGACGGTTCGTTTCTTTTGGGCTCTACCTTGGTCGTTTGGGGTGGCCCAAATATCTGGGATACACCCAGAGTACCCTCCAAGCAAATTCCATGTTGTCCGAGTTCACTGACCATAGCCAGGCGAATTGCCACAAGCCTCGCCCTGCGAAGATGGAGGAGGCTTTGCAGAATACCCTTCTCACATGACATCATTGAAGGCAGTACATCGGCTCTGACTGTGCTCTGACCGCTCGTAACAGCGGAGATACCACACACTCAGACGCGAATGTGTGCTCCTGACAGTGCTAGGTTTTAAGTACCTGAAGTGTGGAGAACCCGCCGATCATATACCTCTGGGTACGCCAGATGGGTACGCCAATTCAACGAACACACGGCCCAGCATCGCCTTGCAGTGGTCCGTGTAGACCCACACATCTGGGAGGAAGTCGTTGAGCACACCCCGCGCGGCGTCCACCATCCGGGCGGCAAACTGAGGAGCGTCCGGACACGGCGGGTTTTTCCCACTGAAAATGAGCAGAGTAGACTGCCAGGGAGGTCAACTCAAGGGTGAGTGAATTTAAAGGGCTCCCGGGTTTTGACCTACAGGCGAGGATCAAGGACCATTGTCTCATATTGTCTCACTGAAAGATGTGTCTGTGCCTTGGCCTGGTGAATCCTCCAGATCTGCGGTTCGTAGAGTTGTTGACAAGTGCTGTCGAGCAGCATGTGACCGACGACCGGGCTCAAGCTCAACAGAAAACTGGAAGCATGTGTGCAGAAGGATGCAGAAGGGCCTATACTTGACGTAATTCCCATGTGAAAGGTCTTCAAGTTGGTGTGGAAAAACAAACATCCAGAATCAAAGCTGAACATGAGTGACTGGAAAACAAGGCGCCGCTTCTTCATATGCTTGGAAGGGTGCCCAGACCGTGTTTGCCGACCAACGTCAGGGCGCGACGAGAACTCCAACCTCGCCCCGAACAGGCTGCCTGTGGACTCACTTTCGTGGTATAGGCTACGCCGCGAACACGTTTCACCTGCAAAGCAGAAATCAGATCGAAAAGTTCCAAGGAAGTAAAAATGGCACCTGAGATTAGCTCCCTTGCACTCAAGAGAAGCTACGTTTCGAGCCTTCGCACGGCAGGAAGACTAAATCCCACTTAGTCACTTAGTTGATTCTTGACCAAACATGACCAAACCCTGTATGCACCCTTTCAGCCTCACAAAACACTGAACGCACCATCTTTCCCTTGGCAAAAAAGAAGAAAAACGCATGCTGTGGCTGAATCCCCCCGGCCTTTCCCTCGTTCAACAACTCAATCGGCTGGATGGCCTGCAGAGTGGTGCTGGCGCGAAGCAAAGCCGGAGCGGACGCGGCTGCGGCTGCGCTGCGGATGAGCGTCCCCCAACCTTGACGATGGGGCAGCTGAAGATCACCTCTCCACCACCCAGAGGAGGTGCGCCACGCTTCAAGATCTGCAAGCTCCGGAGGCTCCACGGACGGGTCCCGACGGAAAGGGGAGCTCTAAAATCGGAAGATCCGATCAAACTGGGAAGATCTCCGAAGGCTGTTCCAAGGTCTACCGTGTGTAGTGCTTGCATGGGTCGGGACACAACTGATCACAATTTGAAGCAAAGCCATCACGAGCACCTGCCAAAAACATTCCTTCGGCGATCTGTATGTCAATTTCATTGGAGCATCTATGACAGGAAGGAGGAGATTGTCTTACAAGGTGGCCACAAAAAAGGGTAGTGGTTCTCATCAGTTCCATTCAACCAAATGATTTTGACGGTTTTGATGGTAATCCCACCATTGTGCCAAGCTCGATTCACAAAACGAGTGGTTCCCTTTGTTGCTTCCACCTGTCCTTTCAAATGACCCGGGGGCTCATGGCGGCTCCGATGGCGGCTCCAATCCCCGCAGCACCTTGAAACTCAGCTGCTCCTCGATGCCGAACTTCGCCAGCAAAGGCAGCGTGGCCGTGCGGAAGGTGTCGCAGGACTGCGCGGTGCGAGCAAGCGCGAGCAATGCGCGCGAGCGGGAGCATTTGGTATGATGAGACGAAGAAAGGCCGTGGAACCTTCTTATTGGCCGTGGGTCGTGGGTGAAAAGCGAGGTGAGGGTGACTTGTTCTCGCTGAAACTAAAGCAAATGGTGGCTTCTGCTCACCAAGACCATGTCAAGAGGGACGGATTGGATTGGAGGACATGATGTGGTGACGGGCTCAAGAAATCCATTCTGAGATGGTGCTTTGCTCGGCTGCTCCGAACTGGCCGCAGTTCTTTTCGTCGAATTGGCCGCTGGGTCCTTGAGCCCTGAAACGATCTACACAGATTGGAAGCAGAAGCACGAGATCAGGGACAAGGATGACTTTGGGAACCACCCGATGATCTCTTAGATTCCTTAAGATGCTTCTTGCATGTCCTGGTCAATCTTGACCATCAATCTTAGATTTCGGCAATGAGGGGTAACATTTCTTGTGAATGGTTGGTGATTAGTGATTAACCTGCGGTGCAACTGAAAAAGTGATTCCCACCACTGAGCTCGCCGAACTCTTCCAAAGTTCCAGACCCGGATCGGTGGATCCGAGAGAAGCCGCCTCAGAACCATGAGAAAACATCAAGCAGCCTTCGGTCTAGCCGGTAGCCTTCAAGAAAACATGAGAAAAAAATCACAACTTTAAATTCCGCTGTGAGTCGATGCTATTCCCGGGAGATGAATTCCGCACGTGTACATCTGGTGAATGCTGAGCTCACGGCAGAGATGTCCGCGCTGCCAAGGAAGACTTTGCAGCGGCCGCACCAAATTAAACATGATGGAATAATGATGTTGGATCCCGGCGATGCTGAGCCCGGCGCACCAAAAAACGTGGGAAGACGGGCCATGTGAACTCTGCTCACTTGCCAGACTTGTCGACAAATATATTTCACGGCTTCGGTGACCCATCGAGGAAGCGGTGACTCATCGCGGACAAATGCCGAAAGAAAGATGAAAGCCCTGAAAATCCAGTGGTCACTTGGGATGGTGAAACCTACCATTTGCGCTGTTCAAAAACAAGGGTGAAAGCCCCGTACATGTACCTTTGTTGAGGTTCTAGTGCAACAAAATGAGTGTGCCGTGCTTGAGTTCTCGTCGGTGCTTGCCTTTCTCGAACGTTGCCAGGCTCCAGGCTTTGAATTCTGGCTCCAGCCTCGCTGGCTGAGATGCCCCTACGGAGGCGGCCCCCCTGCAAAAGGCCTCATGAAAAGATCAGAGGTTGACTCGTGACGAATTGCGCTCTTCTCATCATCGCTCTTCTCATGGCGGGAGGATCTGAGAGAATTCGAAAGAATCAAGGTCCGTAGTAGAGCACCCCTCAAATAAGTCCCCTGGTTTCATCTCAAGGAATAGATGTTCTGAGACGAGCGGATGGCCTGTCACCAAGTTGCTCATCGCCGATTTCAAGTGCTCAATCGTTGTTTCGCAGGGATCAGGCATTTCTTGCTGTGCACCCTTTCAAATTTGCAGGTCCCGACTGCTTGGGTGATCCTGTCAAACAAGAAGCTCTCTCATTGGAAAAGTCAGGCGCCTGGCGAGAGATGGAGATGTGGCTTTCTTGGCAAGGTATGGCAAGGCAACATGTTCACGCGCACTTTTACGTCATTAATCTTCCGTTGGTATGCTGGCCCCAAAAAATTGCACGGGTCAAGTGTTTGGTTCTAAGAAAACAACAGTTATAAGCCTTGCAATTGGTCCTCCGCCTTTTAGCCAACATCAGCTACCCAAATTGTGCGGGCCCACTCTTACAATAGTTGTGCCTCCTGAAAATGGTTCCCCTTTCACCCATCCTGTCCTCTTGCCGCTATGCCTCATTGGACCTCAGCCCATTAAACGTGAAAGTAACTTAAATCGTCCACCTGCGGGTGGCCCTGCAAAACATGAGCTGTCACAAAGTGAAAGATGGACGACAGCCAAATCAGAATCAGTTTGCAGAGAAACCTATTCGCTGTGCCAGGCGTGTGTCCAATGGTCTCCACTTGCGACACAAGCAGGTTCATGAGATGCGTGCATCAGCCCGTTCATGATTGCATCGAGCATACTCACCTCAGTGCAGGGTCTTGGGGCAGGCAGCATCTTCGAACGGCAAAGCATCTTTTTTGGCCCCAAAAGCATCTCGAGGTCGCCTTCCCACCCCAGGCTTGTCATGGCTTAACCATGTCATTCCAAGCTGGGCCGCCCGAGCAGTGCGCTCCTCCACCGTCTTCTGCCGGGCCTCCGAGGAGGCGACGCGCGCCTGGAGGTCCAGCAGCTGCTGGCGTACACGGCCCTGCTCCTGGGAGTGATGAAGTGGTTGGAAGGCTCAAAATGGCAGGATCCGTGATCCGGGGGGAAATCTGCAGATGTTTTGGGTAAGGCCATCAGGTATCATGCTATGGAGCACTGCATACCTAATCAAAATAGAAGAAAAACATGTAGAAAGGGATCACACTATTTATTGTCTTCGGCAGAGGCCTTGGCAAATCCATTTCGCCTTTCTTGCACCATTCTAGGTCAGTTGTTGGGTTTGTGGGCACGGCAGAAGCTCCCGATGGTCGACCTTCTTGCGAACGTGGTGAGGTCCGCTCCCGGACGCAAAATTGCAGGGGACACCGGCTTCGCAACGACTTCTCAAAAACCTGAAGCGGAGCCAATAACATGAATCATACGCAACAACTTTAGCATTTGGGAGTACAAAGCATAAAAGAATCCTATGGAAAGGAAAGGTAGTATGCCCATGGATGTATGGGTATGGGCAAAGGTGGCAAAGGGTAGGGTCTAGGATACCTCCCCTAGGACTCTGACTATACCCCTATAGGTAGCACTCATATGCCTGAGGTGTCCTTTGATTCCATCTGAAGCCATCACCATTGTACTGACGACTTCCCTCCAATTGACCTTCAGTCATCTCACAGTTGACCTTCTGATGAACCCGGATGATCAGCTGATGAACCGAGCACCGAAGGAGCCGAACGAGCACCTCGAAGGAGCCGAAGGAGCCGCGCCCGTGAAGGAGACGAACGGGTCCTCCATCGCGGAGACATTGATCAGCGTGCCGCTCCCCTTGTCCTCCCCTGCGGTATGCAGCATGCAGCATGTAGGGCCGAAAGGTCCAAAGTGCAGTCGCTGAACAGATTCGGACCAGTCAGAAGGTTGTTCAGTTCACAACTGCTTTTCCTTGCAAACGGACCAGACTTCGATTTCAGGCCTTCGAAGCGCAACTCCGACCTCGCAAATTTGCAAGGGGGGGTCCAAGGTCAGCCAATAGTGCTGCCAACAAAATTCACAGGAAAAGGATCAATGTATGTTTAAAAGAGAATAGAAATCTGGGATATCTTGCAAGTTGCCAGATCACAACTGGATGAACTCAGAATGTTCCTCGGGTTCCTGTACAAGCACTTGCTGTTCCTTGGGCGCCAAACTGTACTCGCTGCCTGCGCTCTTCTCGCACCGCAGCCTTCATTCACACCGCCCATGCTGTGCTTCATCCACGGCTAGTAGCGTCCTTGCTCCTAGTAGTAAGGCCAGGAGCCCCTAGTGGCGTCCTTGCTCCTAGTAGCGATGCCCTTTGTTCCTAGTACCGTCCTTGCTCTACGTTCTTTGAAAGTTCTCACAGATTGGTATGTCTCCTGAAAGACTCCAAACGGAGGTGGACCCTGGCTTCAGTTTCATCTGTCTGTGTCAAAAAAGGTCAAAGCTCTCAAACTTGGGCGCTCCCGTTGCGTGTAGCGCGAGGGTTTATAAACTGTATGTCACTGTATGTCAATCAAATTGGTCCTTGTGCTACAACGAAAGGTTGTTGGCTCGAAATGAACGACACACAACCCAATTCTATATAAATGGAAAAGTACTGCAAGTGGATTGTAGAATCCTCTGCAGCTGTGCACTTCAATTTGTGCTAGTAGCCTCCAAGTCTGTATCTCCTGTAATGATCTGGGTTTGTCTCCAAAGGAAGGGGACTACCCAACCACTCTGGCAGGAAGGGAAGGAAAATAGAATCCAAGTCGGCTAGGGAAATCTCTTCCCTGTCACACTTTAAGAGATTCCTAGCTGAACTTGAAAACATGACAGGAGACCTGCAACTTCTGTTCCACGCGCTCCTCGCCATCAAGACGTAAACGTGCCTGGCCAATCGTCCGATGGGTCAGTTTCGGGGGACCCTGACATTGCCTCAAGGGATTCCATGACGTCTGGACAGTAAGAGAAATGCCTCATGAAAAAGCACCACCCACCCACAAGGTCCGAGGCCAGAAAAAAAACACAGATGCGGGCCCCAAGCAAAACGTGGGATCCTCCGAGCGCCATCCTCATGAACAAGCACCAAGTCCAGCACTGCGAACATCCTTTTGATCTTGGCCCCCCAGGTCGGCGGATTCTCGTTCACCGAGAACCCCATTCGTCCGGTGGTGGCGGCCAGTTCGCGGAAGCCGCCGCGCGGGAGGCCGGGGCCCTAGCGCTTTCGTTTGAAACCCCCATCACCGGTGACCTTCCCCGTCTTCTTCTTGCTCCCAGCGTTTTGCCCGTCGATCCATTGCTGGTAGTTGAAGTAGTACTCGCACTGACGCAGCACATGATCGTTCATTTCACCACCTGTTGGCACCACCTTCCCGTCATTTCGAAAGGTCAGCGTTTGTGCATAGTCGCCCTCCAAGAGGTTCTCAGGTTCTCTCGGTGCTTTTGAGCTCTTGGGTGGCTCACCTGGGGGTAGGGGAGGCCACACTGGTGTGTCTTCTGTGGGAGGCAAAGGTGGCCATGGCTCCACTTCTGGCACCACAGCAGCCTCAGCCTCTGCCATCTCCTGCTCTTGGGCTGGAGTAGGGAGATTCTGCACCTCAGGATGGTGAATCAAATATGTATATGTAAAAGACCAAAAAGTATATCAAGTATATAAAGTATATCAGGATGGTGAATCCTGCTCTTGGTTGCTATGGTGTATACAAAAAGAATATCAAGTCCTCACAGCATGCATGCACCGTCTCTCCAAC